TATGTCTCACCCCTGTGTGCTCTCCTCCTTCAGAAACTCCTCTTTGGACCAATGAGATTTGCTGAATGATTTGACATGGGGAAAGCGGGGAGGAGGGGGAATTAGGGACTGAGGTGGAGATGCCACAGGCACAGGCACTGGGCTGTGCTGCTGGAGCCTGTGACTCCTCAGCACCCAGGTTGAGGGAGAGTCTCCACCATGAACACCCAGGGAGGAGCAGGAGAGCCCAGCACTGGATAGAGCCCAGAGGCAGCCTGCCCCCTGCTGGACCCAGGGCCTGTCTCAGGTGAGACTCTCAATGGCCACATGCCAAGGTCAGACCCTCACAGCCTTGAACAACAGCACACAATCCCAGCCCCAACTCTCAGGACAGTGTCAGGAGTCACTGCTGCTGTGGGCCGGGCAGCAACATCTTGAGAGGTTTGCACATCTAGTCACATAGAGATAAGAAATTCATTCTGGAAAGTGGAGTGTCCAGGGACCAGCACAGGTTGCAGGTTGCAGTCTGACCTGCACTGGGCTAGGGGCATTGATCTGGCTCGGGTCACAGGTGGCTGTAATGGTTGGGGCTGGAGCCTGGTAGTCTTGACCATGCTGGCACCAGCCCGAGCTGGTGTTGGGGCCACACCCTGCTCAGTGTCCCTTGCATCTGCTTCCAGCTCCTGGACCATGTGGCTGCTCTGCTCTGCCCCACCCTATGCTTAGCCCCAGGTCCTGCCCCGGTCCCAAGGGAAGGTACCCAGTGACAGGCTGATACAGCTGCCCCTGCTGCTCACAGGTCCCTGAGGCTCTGAGTGAGCACACTGTGCCCTGAGCAGGTCCTGGCACCCCACTAACTCTGATCCAGATGGCATTTCACAGCAAATTCTTAGAGGCTGGGAGCACATTCCTGGGGGGGTGGGGGAGGGGAATTGCATGTCCCTGAAGTACTCCCCATCCCTGGGTTATTTGGTGCTCACAGCTCTCTGATTAACTGGGAGAGAGCTGATCTGTCTCAGTGATCAGATGGGAAGCTGCTCAGGCTGGTCCTCCCCCGAGAACTGGGTCTAAGCCAGAGCCTCATCTTCCTACCTTCAGCCTGACAGCCTTTCCCAGTTTCACACCCG